GTTGCTTTTCTGTTTCCTCTATTGGCAGTGAACTTTTCCATAGTATTTTTTTTCTACCTTTTTTATTTACTCAATTACTTTGGGGCTTGCTCTGCTTGCAATCTCAGTGGCTTGTAAGCATTTCTGTCATGGCATCTTCATCTTCTTTCTCTGTGGAAAATGGAATATACTGGAAAGTATATTGAAAGTATATTGAATACTGGAAAGGATATACAAGTGGATTTTTTTTTATAGAAATTTGGAAAATTATTTCATAAGACATTAATTATGAGTTTAGTCCCTCAAAATATTAAATAGATCATTGCATCACTGTAACAGTAGCATTAGCTCATAGAAGAATAAAAATAGTGGGTGTATATACAATATTCATTACAGTAGTGATTGGTGTTAAGTGTGTAACAGCAATAATTATAAGGGAATATTTATTAACAGAAGATGAGTCTTACACCTTTTGCTGTAAAGACCATTAATTGAACCACAATGCAAATGTGATATTTGATTACTTCCAGAGGATATTTCAAACATTATCTATATATAATAAAGCATTTGCATGAGAATGTTAAAGAAAAATATTCTGGAGTAATATCAAATTAAGAGATATTATTACAGTAAAAACAAAGGTCAGTAAAATATTAACAGTGTATCTATTTGCATATTACCCGCATCATAAATAACTAGACAAGATTTGTATCTACAAAAACAGGGAGGGAGCCAAATGTCAGAATGAAAATTTAAAAAATGACCAAGATCTTCAAATGAAAAAATGAGAAAGACTGATATGATCCTTATGTTATATATAAAGCTTGTAAGGCATAGTATGGTGCATTGCCTTTATAGCCTACTACTAGTAGTTTTGTTTTTCCTTATCATTGGGATGATAGTTGGTGGTGGTTTACAGTAGTGAAGCATCTTCGGGACATCTTTAGAAGTAAGTAGGATTCAGTCCCTCAACTATTTGTGGTATATATATATATATATATATATATATATATATATATATATATATATATATATATATATATATATATATATATATATATATACATATATATATATATATATATATATATATATATATATATATATATATATATATATATATATATATATATATATATATATATACATATAAATATATATATATATATATATATATATATATATATATATATATATATATATATATATATATATATATATATATATATATATATATATATATATATATATATATATATATATATATATATATATATATATATATATATATATATATATATATATATATATATACATATATATATATATGTATATATATATATATATATATATATATATATATATATATATATATATACATATATATATATATATATATATATATATATATATATATATATATATATATATATGTATATATATGTATATATATGTATATATATGTATATATATGTATATATATGTATATATATGTATATATATGTATATATATGTATATATATGTATATATATGTATATATATGTATATATATGTATATATATGTATATATATGTATATATATGTATATATATGTATATATATGTATATATATGTATATATATATATATATATATATATATATATATATATATATATATATATATGTATATATATATATATATATATATATATATATATATATATATATATATATATATATATATATATATATATATATATATATATATATATATATATATATGTATATATATATATATATGTATATATATATATATATGTATATATATATATATGTATATATATATATATATGTATATATATATATATGTATATATATATATATATATATATATGTATATATATATATATATATATATATATATATATATATATATATATATATATATATATATATATATATATATATATATATATATATATATATGTATATATAATATATGTATATATATATATATGTATATATATATATATGTATATATATATATATATGTATATATATATATATATATATATATATATATATATATATATAAAAATATAGCATGAATTTCTTAGTCAGCTCATGACTTCCATTGCTTCCATGTCAGAACTGATATTATGAAAACTGAGGTAGAATAATGTGTAAGCCTCCCATATCATATTTTCTATTTAGGATCCACAAATTTAGGTTTATATTATTGCATCTTGCCTACCAAAAAGGCAAGTCTATATTCTCTGTTATACTAATACAAAGTTTCCCTCAGCACAATGGGGGTAAGACGGATTGCTTTGCTATCCGCATTGTTTGCACTTTTAGCCATTATTATTGTGAAGTTATACCCTTACTACCCAAGTGGACGAGTTGGAGTCATTTTTTATTCATGTACAAGGTAAGTCTGTAAAAGTATTTTTTATTTTTTAACCCATTTGCTCCAGGTGTCATGTATATGTGACATACCCACTGTGAGTTTACTTCTTTAATTGTTTTTACACATAGATGGCTACACTTGTACTTGTACTGCCTATCTCGCCTGTTTACCCTTTCCTTAAATTATAAAAATATTTTATGTTATCTTATTTTGCTGTTACTAATGTTTATAACACTATAGTAATTATAATGTTTATAATAAAAATAACCATCGATATTCATAGCACTGGTAAAAATACATTTTCCTGCCAATTCAAGTAAAGGTGAAATTAGGTAAAGAAGAGCCATCTAGGGTAGAGACATTTCACATAAAAATATTAAAAATGAGCACAGCATTTTCCCCATTTTTTGTTCATTTTTACCCGTGGTGAATGGGTTTAGTATAGAATTTCATTGAAGGAAAAGTTTTTTCTTCATCTTCTTTTATAAAGTAAGCTCATATGTGTTATGGAAATTTCTTAACCCATTTGTCCCATATGGCAAGAATAGATGGCTCAACAGGTGTTTAGTCATCAAGGAGTCTTACGTATCTCACTTGTTTACCCTTTTCCTCAACTCTTGGAAAGGGTCTTTTGCATTATTTCATTGTTTTAAATGTTATTGAGATTTTATTGACCATTATATATATATATATATAGTATATATATATATATATGCATATATATGCATATATATACATATACATATATATATATATATATATATATATATATATATATATATATATATATATATATATATATATATATATATATATATATATATGTATGTATGTATATATATGTATGTATATAAATATAGATGTATAATATTTATATGTTTACATTGATATTTTTGCATGCATGTATGTATAAGTTCTATATACTTGTAAATTGAAATATAGTATGAATTTCTTAGTCAGCTCATGACTTCCATTGCTTCCATGTCAGAACTGATATGAAAACTGAGGTAGAATAATGTGTAAGCCTCCCATATCATATTTTCTATTTAGGATCCACAAATTTAGGTTTATATTATTGCATCTTGCCTACCAAAAAGGCAAGTTTATATTCTCTGTTATACTAATACAAAGTTTCCCTCAGCATAATGGGGGTAAGACGGATTGCTTTGCTATCCGCATTGTTTGCACTTTTAGCCATTATTATTGTGAAGTTATACCCTTACTACCCAAGTGGACGAGTTGGAGTCATTTTTTATTCATGTACAAGGTAAGTCTGTAAAAGTATTTTTTATTTTTTAACCCATTTGCGCCGGGTGTCACGTATACGTGACATACCCACTGTGAGTTTACTTCTTTAATTGTTTTTACACATAGATGGCTACACTTGTACTTGTACTGCCTATCTCGCCTGTTTACCCTTTCCTTAAATTATAAAAATATTTGATGTTATCTTATTTTGCTGTTACTAATGTTTATAACACTATAGTAATTATAATGTTTATAATAAAAATAACCATCGATATTCATAGCACTAGTAAAAATACATTTTCCTGCCAATTCAAGTAAAGGTGAAATCAGGTAAAGAAAAGCCATCTAGTGTAGAGACATTTCACATAAAAATATTAAAAATGAGCACAGCATTTTCCCCATTTTTTGTTCATTTTTACCCGTGGTGAATGGGTTTAGTATAGAATTTCATTGAAGGAAAAGTTTTTTCTTCATCTTCTTTTATAAAGTAAGCTCATATGTGTTATGGAAATTTCTTAACCCATTTGTCCCATATGGCAAGAATAGATGGCTCAACAGGTGTTTAGTCATCAAGGAGTCGGTTATTAGTCTTACGTATCTCACTTGTTTACCTTTTTCTTCAACTCTTGGAAAGGGTCTTTTGCATTATTTCATTGTTTTAAATGTTATTGAGATTTTAATGACAATTTAATAATCATAACATCAATAACAATAATAACAGTATTGAAATCAGCTGTATTAATAAGAAAAACATTTTCCTGCCAATTCAAGGCATAGGGAAATCAGGATTGGTCACTAGGACTACTATGTGTGCGTGTGTGTGTGTGTATGAAAATATATATATATATATATATATATATATATATATATATATATATATATATATATATATATATATATATATATATATATATGTAAATGTATATATATGTATATATATATATATATATATATATATATATATATATATATATATATATATATATATATATGTATGTATGTATGTATGTGTATGTATGTATGTATGTATGTATGTATGTATGTATGTATGTATGTATGTATGTATGTATGTATATATATATATATATATATATATATATATATATATATATATATATATATATATATATTATATATATATATATATATATATATATATATGTAACTTTAATTTCTTATTGCCTTTGTGTCTTGCAGAGACAGCCAGAACAGAGAAGAATTTAAGGCAACAGTTGAGGGCGTTGCACCTCTTGAGATCAGCCCATCTACGCCAGTGACAGTCATTGTGCACGGATATACGGAGTCTTCTTTCAGGTCTTGGATTATTGACCTTACTAATGGTAATTTTTTTCTTCCTCACCTCTTTTTTCTTTAATTAGTAA